AACATCGAAACGAGTTTATGTTTATAGACCACATACTGGATACAGCTGTATGATATTTTCGCTTAGATTAAGTCAATTATTATTCATACATTAGCAAATATTTTGATAACTTGCACCGTCGCCATAATTATCGAACAGTTTGCATAATGTAATATTTAATATGCTTCCTATAATTTTATGATTAAGATACAAATCGCTCAAATTTTTTGTAACACAAGATTGAAGTGAAATAAGTAACTAATCATTAACTAAAATTAGGTATAGCATAAATGTTTTTATGGTCTTGTCACAAATAAATGAATTTGAGGCATATCATTAAATTTTACTAATTGTAAGTAAGAAATCCGAAAAAAATTAATTATTTATCATAAGAATTCTAATAATTTTGATTATGTCAGTTTTTCTTAATTTAAAAAATTCTAAACTTGCAAGTTTGAACATGATGGATATTATTGCGTTCATCTAAATATTAATAGTTCCAATAACAACGTTTTTGTGATAATCATTTGCTATCAACTTAAGAAAATCAGATGACGCGAGCTTAGAAAAATCAACAAAGTGATTATCATCGCGAGAAACAGAGTCCAAGCCCATTTTAATGCACATATCTATTCTATTATCGTCACTTGTTTACAGAGAAATCACGTGATCACGGATTGTATAAATGATTCCACAGATCAAACTGGTAAACACTTGTAATTTATGCAGAAATAACTTCCATGCATTTAAAACAAAGAGATCCGAGCTATAAAAGATAAATTTTCTTTAATGACTAAGAGTAAAATAATTTTGACTAACTCAATTATTATACTAACTTAATTGTTACCGTACTAATTTAATCAATGTCATATATGATAATTCCTGTATTATTTAGATATTAACTAAAAAAATAGATAAAAATATGTTTTAGTGAAAATTTATTGATTTTTTTATCTATTCAGAATGCATTCTGTCAGACGTATTGAATTTAAGTTTATCGGAGAGAACTATCGAGACCTTTCAATGACCGTGACAGTTAATGAACTTATATATATTTTTAATTGCATTTGATATTATTAATTGCATTTTATCTCGACTAAAGTTGATCCTTTGAAAAAATGATGAATAATATTTCCAGTTATAGATTCTTTGTAAAATTAAAAAATTTTATTTTTCATTTAACATGAGAAAATGTAAAAACCAAAAACGTCATCTACATGTCATTAAAAAATCCTACGCATGATTCATTTTATATGTTTATATATATATATATATTTTTTTATTTGAGGAAAAATTGTTTGTGGGACTTGCCATGTACCATATATGCCTTCGAAGTGCTGACGTCAGATCGCAAATAGAATCACATAACAGAGATCAAGGATTAATATAATCACAGAATAAGAATAGAAATGTTATTTCGTCTTCCTTCAGCAATATTAATTCTGCATTACGAAGCATAATCGTGCTGTACTTTCACAAAATGATCATTTACTATTTAAAACATTAAAAGCCAATTTTTATTTATATAAAGACAAGTGCGATTAAAATATTTTTTATTAGCACTCATACCTAAATGAAGTTTAAACTAGAATAATCAAGATATAATAAAGCTCGAATAATTACTTCAATTGATTTTTATATGATACTTCTGGATTCGTAAATGTGTATGTGTGTGTATAATTATCTTAAATTTCAAGTTATTGAATGGCTGAAGATGACACAAACTTACATGTGTATTTCACCAACAATATACCTAATAATTGCACTAAATAAATTTTGATCGACATTTTATTTTTTAACAAGTGTTTTTAAGTAATAAAAATTTTTAACAAGTGTTTTTCAGGAACTCATGTAGAGATTTTTACACTGAAAAAGGATGTTTTTAAAAAATTCTATCACCCTTCAATTTTTAGAAATTCCACTTTAAATATGTAATAACGCAAATATAGTTATAAATTTTTTTACAACATACAAAAATAAATGTATGAAGTCTCTTTTATATACAATTTTAAGTGATATGTTAAAATAATAAAATTTATTAGTAAATAGTTAAAGTCAAAAAGTTCACTGATTTATAAGATTTCTGCTTTTTAACATCTGAATGATGATTCTTATGTATTTTACTCTGTAAAGTAAATAATTCGATCACTTCACGAGACTTATGCGATAAGCAACGCGATATATATTTTATTTTTTTAATGTGCCAATTAATGTTTTCTTAAACACAATGTAAATTCATATTTTAATTATAATTATTATTATAACATATGACCTCGTTTTTGTTAATTTCCTGAACTCAGGAAATAAGAATAAAATTTTTAAGCGACAATTTTAACTACATATAAATCAGATTTTTTTTCATGAAATTATACTCAAAGTTCCTCGTTTGTTCAGCATTGTAAACATGTTTCATCGCAGTTATCGCATAACCACGACGCAATCACGAACGTGCTAGCCTCAATTCACGTTTATTTGAATAACACATTGAACCATGCACTTCCGGACTCAAGCAAATCAACTAACATTGTATTATATATAAAACGATAAGAACTTTATGGCATAATCGAATTAGATAAAAAAATCAACATTCGCGTAAATAATACGAGCGATATGTTGAAAATAGCACACTTTTCTTCTAAATATCAAATAAATACAAAACTTTCCTGATTGCAGGTAACATCCTTGACAGCAAGCAAAATAAATGTTATCTGTGTTATGCGGTATAAAAAAAATTGTAGATAAGCCATAGATAAACGAACGCATCATGTTCGAATAGATACACCCATCCAACTAATAATTTATTAAAGCAGCAAAAGAAATATTTTGATTATTTTAATATTCAATCAGAAACAGATGTTTTTATTTTTTTGCTCGATTTCTTTTTAGTTAATATTTAGAACTTACAAAATAAATGAAACACTAAATAGAATGAAAGATTTTGCCTTAATAAAGTTATGATACAGAATTTTTATATTTCTTGATAATAAACAAATGATTCTGAAATATAATTAATTTCCACAAAATAAAGATTAAAATACAATATTTAAATGCATAGTATTGAAAAATTGAACAGAATACGGATAATTAATCTGTCCTTTAGACGTAATAAATATAACAAAATTAATTATTATGATATAGATAGCTGAAGTCGAATTGATATTAGATATATATAACTTTTATAAATTTTCTAACAGAATACTTATACTTTCCTATATTTTTATTGAAATACAAATTAATATTATTTGAAGAGGGAAAGACAAAAAGGAGTAAAAAAGAAAAAGAAAGAGAGTTTTTTTACTTTTTAATATCTGATTAGTATCAAATATTTTAAAAAAAAGGCGAACTTAAGAACAATTTTTTATAAAAAATATTTTAATATAAGTCATTGGCCGGTATTCATAGTTTATTCTTATTTTAAGACCGTCTTAAATAATGTTTTAAGATGCTAATACAGTTTAATTGGTTTATGACATCTTAATTATAAGACAGTCTTAATTATAAGAACAGACTATACAATACCGCGGCCATTGCATTTTAATTAAGGTTATCGTAATAGACTAACTACGTAATTTTATTATCGCTACTTCCGTATAAAACGCTTAGTTAATAATCATATTTCTTTATTACATTTGAAAAATGACAGCACATAGCGTGACATGGTAAATAGCAATTAAAAAATGCTAGTAGTGTAGTAGTGATGGTGTAAAAAGCAATTAAAAGTATCTCGTTCTTTTTTCATCGACAATTTTTTATCGTTGAACGAAGTTGTGAGACATTGCTATTTTGTACTTACTTTGTAAATAGATAATTTTACACTGTGGCTATATTGATAAAAATGATAAAACATTTGATGTGAGTTGTTATCTATGTATTATAAAAAATTATTTTATCGCAAATGTGCATATGTCGCAAAATTGCGCGCTTATATGTCAAACAGTAATATGTGCTTATATAAGTGGCATCTAATAAATCAGACAGCTAATAAATTTACAAATGGAAAGATATTATTTATTAATAAGCTATTAGTTGGTATAGTATATTTCAAATATACACATGATCATACTCTTCCTCGAAACATGAATATTCGATAAAATCTGCAAACAAAATTATTTATTTATGGGACGTTCAAATTTCAAACTTTAAAAAAAAGTTTTAAACTTAATTTATAGAAAATAAAAAAAACAGCAAAATAAAATATGATCTCATAAATTATAGTTATCGGATATTCCGCTATTCACGTTTCTTTTATAGTCATATATTATTTTGGGTTGCGTTCCGTTATTCACTGCGAGTACTGGAAATCTATAATTCACGTTACATATATTACAGATTTTCAGTACTTGCATTGCAATAAATAACGAACGCAGCCATGATAAACTCTATTTTTTCTACGTAAATATCTTAGAAAACGTCAATGTTTTTAATCATTAACTTATTTATTATAATTATTATGTACATCTTATAGTAAAATCTTTAATTGAGAAAGGAATTCCTTTAAATAATTGATTTGAAAAACATTTTTCTTAATTAGAAACAATTGCTAATAGAAATAGAAATATACTAATAAAAAAAATTTTGTTCTTTATTTAATTTTAACAAATTTAACATTTAATTACCAATCCATTGTTTAAACTAATGAGGTGTAAAAAAATTTAGCAGTTAATCGAATATTTACTGAGAAAAAATTTGATTTTAAATTGAATGAACAAGCTGAAGTTATGCGCAATTATGTCATTTTCAATCTAAAAGATCACATCTCATTTGATGATTTTATCATTATCGGTACAAATACAAAATGCGTCACACATGCGATCCCCAGCAACGCAGTAGTGCTTTGCTTACTCCATCAGGGTACGGTGGACGGGAAAAACAGACGTTGCACGTGGTCGGCGAGTGGCCGCGCGTGTCTTCTACCCTTTTCCCCGCATTCACTTTTCCTACCATCCTATCGCAAATGCGTTGGCCTGCATACGGGTATAAAAGCGAACGCGCTCCAACAGAACGGGTTAGTACCTCTCGCGCAGCGTACGAACGTATCGAGAATTCGTTCTTCCTGCACTCCATTGCAAGTTTCTTTGTAAAACCATTGAAATTTAATCGTTAAAAACCGTGTTTCATAAAACGATCTTTGGGTGAAATTTCTTGTGCTCAGGTTTTTTGTGAGTGATTTTGAAAAATAAACTTAATTAAGGTGGTTATGCCGGTGGAATTGGAATCGATGGCACCTATCGCTCATAAAACCATCTCTCATAATGGGTAGGCAATTATTTGATTTTTACACGTGTATTTTAATTCGTTAACTACCTTCTTTATTGTACAAACAGCTAGGATAATGCATCACATTGATTTTTCAAGCAAAATAATTTATGAATTTAAAAACACAATAGAAATAAAATACGTATTCTAAAATATATTAATTTATATTTAGCTTGTTTTTCAATATTTTTGCAATTTAGTGTAAAACTTATTGAGCATACTGCATATACGTTTAGCCAAGGCAGTATATCATTATTTACGTCAAAGAAACTTTTTATGTTATTTTTATATTACTTTTTATACCATGTAAAAAGTTTTTATATTGTTATTGACTTATAACGTGTCTTTCAATTTTATTTAAATTCTCAGTTGGTTTAAACAAAAATACAGATACTTATATGTCACGCATTTCATTTGTTATACAATCTTTACAAATACTTCACGTGCGAAAACGTGTTTTCAAGTATCCAATCAGAAAATATTCGAACAGCTGATCCGCAAGTCTGACAGGTTTCCTCGTGCCAGGCATGTTAATATTAATGACACACTTCTGTCAATTTTAGTGTCACCGTCACACTGTTTCTTAAGACTTCAGAAAAAGAAAAAATATATCACCATTAATTAATTAATTGAGTACTAATTAAACCTTCTTTCCACTGATGACAGTCACCTATAATAGATTTCTTTATCCCGATGCTACAGAAATTATTTCAACCGGAAAATGTCATATTATTAATGTCTTCCGCATATTTCCTAAGCCTCGTTATTAAACTCTATTAAAGTTAAATGACTATAATAGATCTCTTGTTATCATATAATATTTTTCATATATAAAATTTTTAATAAAAATAAACTATATGCATGAAATAAATGTTTTTTACTTATTATGTGCAATTATAATTTTCGTAATAAAGAAAATTTACTAAATTATAATGTAATATAAATAATTACGTATAATTTATCTGTGAAGCAACATCTCATATGAAATTTTTGAAGTTTATTAAATATGAAGCTTATAAATGAATAAAATTTAAATTTAAAAATATAAAAAATTTGCTCCAAATCTTTAATTATTTATATATGCAAATGTCCTATGTGTCATTTTCTTTTGAAATATTAATACATAGTTTTCCTGAATTATTTAATCGATAACGCTGTTTTTTCACTTAAAAAATAATCTACTTTGCTAATTATTATTTCCAACTACGATACTTGCATTATAATTTTTTTTATATTATTAATATATAATTAATATAATTCTCTGCAACATTAAATAAATGTATTAGATAGTAATCGTATATATGTAATTATATTGTGTATTATATACAAAATAATATTGCATCTTACAACGCGCATTCACTCTGAAAATTTTGGTCAAAATAGAAGAAAGATCCTTTTAACAGTATATTATTTAAAAAATTGCTGTAATTTATGACAATTATCTACAGCATTAGATGCATAGAGGCTTATCACTTTTGCATTAAATATAACATTGCATAATATCTAATAACAAAAAATAAAAAGATATAGATAATTGAGGAGAAATATCTTCCAATTGCAAAAGCCTCATATTACCAATTTTGTGTTACAGAGAGAAGATGAATAAACTGTGCCGTCAACTCTCGATCGAGAGCCCGAGCGTGACCGGTCGGGATTGTGTCTTCAGCTTCGATGTACCCGTGCCGGATGTGCCGGCGCATGGTGCCCGCATCCGGGTGGTGTGTGCTGGTGCTTGTTACCATCCTCGACGATCACCGAGTCTGACCAGTTTGACCTCGGTCTCGAGTGGCAGTAGTCTGGCCGCCGACATATCCGTAGAGAGCGATTACCCGGTATTTATACCGCATCACGGAGTACGCGACGCTGCTCTATTCCCCGGTTACGAAGTGGCTGGCGTGATCGAATCGTTTGGCACCGAGGTACCTGAAGACCGCGAACTTGCTGTGGGCGATCGCGTTATTCTCTATCCCTATGATGGCATTCCCAATGGTTACGTCGAATATCTGGTAGTGCACGACCTCAAGTACCTGATCAAGCTTCCGGACAGTATGTCACTTAGCGTGGGAGCTATGCTGCCGGCCGGCGCGCTTCTCGCCATGAACACCGTCTTCGCTGCGCACGAACACGTGCAGGTATAGATAGACAATCTTTCATATTGTATCCTACTTTTGTTAAATTAAATTAATAAATACACTTTAAAGATATGTGTATAATGAATTATCTGACAAAGCTAATACTTCAGAAACAAAGGTCTCTCTTCAAAGTTTTCTTCATGTATGATAAAATGTTGCAGACATTATTGAAGGAGAGGGGTGAAAACAGCGTGTGCAAGATTCTTGTAGTTGGCACAGGTGGCCTTGCTTTGTGGGCTCTCAGAATCGCATCGTATCACTTCAGTAATATGAGGGATAGAGTTACTACTACAATAGCCACTCTTAAGGACGATGGTCTTCTCATAGCTCAGGAATTCCAACGGTAAGTTTATTCAGTTGATTCATTATTATTAAATTCTCATAATAGAATAGAATAGTTATTAGATAATTGTTAATTAGTAATTATTAATTAATGCCCCGATATTTTACTTTCTTTATAATTGTTAGTTAATTAATAAACAAGATTTTTACGATAAATGGACTCGAACAGGCTCTCGAAGAGTACAAATCAATTCTAGTATCTACACTGAATTAAAATATTTACATACAAATTATTAGCTTTCTTTTTCTCCCTCTTAAGAAAAATATTTAAAAACTAAAAAGATCAATGAAAGAAACACGTTTTCAAATTTAATGCTCATATACGATGTCTTAAAAATTCAAACGTTTATCATCTTATTTTTTTATTTATTCAGCAACAGTCGGCGTATTGGTTACAGGGTGAACGTAGTACAGTGGAACGAGGATCTTTATGAGAAGCAGTTGATCGAACGCACGATGGATGCCTGTGGTGGCCAAGTAGACGTGGTAATCGATTTCGGCACGACTTCACGCAATCTTCATCGCAGCATGCAATGCCTAAGTAAGGGCGGTGTAGTGTTTGTGATCAAGGAGGTCGCAGATCGACTACTGCCCAAGTTTAGCCGACGTGCGGAAGAGCGGCAGCAATCTATCAAACCGGTAGAACCGGGTACTTTGGAGCAATTACGGGAGCTGGTGCAACTAGTCGCCTCGGGCGACATCGAGCCGCCTCCGCACACCGTGTATCCCGCCGAGGAAGCTCTGGACGTCGTCCAAAAGCTTTGTCACTCGGAGATCCAGGGCCGCGCGATTCTCCGCTTTTATCCCGCGGACTAGAAGATTTTTCGTTGAAAGATTTCTCCGCGATCGCGGATCAGGCGACAGATTCGACGACGACGACCGAAAAAGTCCGGATCCGGCCCGGGTGATGAGAGTTGTACAATTGAGAGTTACTACGGCGTGTGCGTTTCGAAGTTTCAATATATAGCTGAGAAGGACTATCGAGTACAGAAGTAATTATATTGCTTCATATTGAGGGCCGGAGATTAGATAAAGCGTGTATGTCCTATAGGGCGATAATTTACGAATGAGGGGACTTGATGACTGCAGGAATGGTCTTCGTAGAAGTGACACGTAAACTCGAAGAGATTTGACCTACCGGATCAAAAAGATCTTACAAGATCCACAAAATTTGACGATACACGAATGAAAGAGTTGACGAAAGAACGAATAAAAGAGTTGACGAAAGAATGACGTTCTGATTTATATGGCTGATCAAATATTAACTGTGTATTAATTTGACAGAATTTTGTAATAACAACAGTACGAAATACTTTCGAATCCAATTTAATTTCATCAGATTTTTCATTGATTGACAATTCTTTTGAATGCTAACCAAACATGTAATATTTGAAGGAAAGTTTTCATATAATAAACATATAATAAACGAATTCTTTTCTGTAAAGAACTTTTTTTCGAAAGTTTGCCAATGAAACGAAAAAAATTAGAAAATTAATGTTTAATATTTTAGAGATTATCTCACTTTACGTTTTTCTTTCAAGTAACGAGCAATTTCACAAATAGGCAGAGATAATAATGTATGCGTCAGTCCATCACACGAGCGTAAGATAACAACCTAAATAGCACGAAAAAATGACATAAAGCTGTCATGCTTAATAAAAAAGGATATTATCGTTAAAGAAGCGACGCTCTCTATTTTCTTTTAATGGATGTCTAATATTTGTCGTTTCTTGGCACAAAGTAAAGTCCAAGATAACATTACAATGTATGCATATTTGTGCCGAATGCACTAATGCAGTTATGAGCAATTAATGTACGAGGTATTCTGTTTCATATTCAAGAATCCTTGAATGGAAACATGCTGATTGGAGACACAAAGCAATATAGTTGTGCGTCTCTTCGACACATGTGAAGCTGTGGTATTAAAACGCGCACGATAATAAGATAATTTCGACGTGTGTTGATTATTTTTACTAAGAATTCAAGAGTACCAGCAACTATACAAAATAGTCATATTAACTATACTGTTTTTAATATTTATACTGTAGTTAATACGAGTACTTAAAAGTCGTTGGTGCCTAGAAATAGTGATAAAAAAAGGATTAAAAGAAATTAAACAGCTTCTAATATAATTGTATTAACTATACTATTTTAATCATAACTACAAATAGCTAATAATGGCTATTTAAAGTTGCTGGTATTTGTAGAAACATCGACAGTATGAGAAGAATTAAAGCTAATATTTTTGCTGAAAACATATGAAGGAATGTCGAGAGTTTTCTTATAAGATGTTTTATTAATACCGCTGTATTTCGAGCAGAACAATCGGAAAGAAGTCTGTATTCATATATTTAAAATGCATTTTCGAACGATCTTTGTTTAATTATATCAAATGTGTATATTGTTGAACAGTTATATTAAATGTATATATAAACTTGACAAGAATACAGCCTGGTTTATAACAACAGCGGTACATTCGATATGATCAGAAGATTTTAGGGAAGACAGATCAAGACAGCGATCATTCACATTAATTATGTGATGAGAACCAGCGATCTTGTTGAGCACGCATTTATTTCAAGCGACATTCTTTATGGCGTATACTGCTGTGTATGTATTTTAATTATCGAGAAATTTTGTCGCGACAATAATGGTGACAAATTGATATCTCATGTAATTATCTGAAATATACGGAGTCACTACTAATTGTCACGAATGTTCCACGATAATTAATTGAAAGACACCGATAAAGATACCGCTGACGCAGTACAAAAGTGTACCACTGCATGGAACCCAAAACAAGTCCGATATTTATGAGCACACTTCAATGCATACTGCAATGAATATTGCAGTACAGGATCAAACGTGTATATTCAATGTCAATTCAGGAATAATATTCGATCGGATGCGCCTGTACGAGCGCCTAGAATAAGTTCCCCGTTAAGATAAGGATGTTGAATTGTAATAAATATCTGTCCTACCATAAAATGACACGTCGTCGCTATAGCGAGGTAATCCCGAAACTTAGTAAATAACGTGTCTTGAAAGCTAGGAATACATTATCAATAAGATTCAAAGTTGTTTCTTTGCAAGGCAGATACAGAACAAAATAATCGCTTCATAAATAAACCTAAGAATAATCGCTTCATAAATAGACTCTATTTTTCATGATTTAAAAATCATTAAGACAAGTTCCTTCACAGCACACATCTAGTTAACGGATATATGCTTTTTCAGACGTTCTAGTGTGAAAGAGTGAAATATATACCGTATCCGTACATAAAAATATTTTAATGAATTAATATACTGACATATTTAATTATAGGTTTAAGTTTTTTAACATGTTTTCCGAATCAAAGGCGAACATGTAAGGATGCTGAATTTAAACGCATCAGTGCTGACCATGCCTGATATTTTCCTATAATTAAACTTCCTTCCGAGGTCTAGATGATCATCTCGCTACATCGTTAATATGCCACTTTATGGTACCATGCGAATATTTACGTAAGGTGTGCGTTACTTTACTTTAAGATTCTATCCGATATAATTGAGATTGTATATAAAATGAAATGTGTCGCATATAAGAGTGAACGTGAATTGCGTTTCAAGGTCAAGAGAAACGAGCGATCGTATTAAATGACGAGTAGTTGCACGCTAACCGGGCCTTGCCGTCATATCTGCCGACGGTTTCGCGAAACTTAAACACGAAGTCGCGGATCCGAATCTTATCGCTAACCGGCACAATAATAACAGCATAATATACTTTACTGAGCGTGTACACTCGTATCCAGAATATCTCGTTGATCGTCGTTTATCGTTAGATCAGTATTCACCTTTTGCTTAGCGTAAGTTAATGTAAGTTCGTCGCGTAAACTTGAGAGAGAGAGAGAGAGAGAGAGAGAGAGAGAGAGAGAGAGAGAGAGAGAGAGAGAGAGAGAACGTAATACAATTGCAAGTTATACCTCAGAAAGACTGTTCTGTTTATTTTAAATGGTATATTGATATACCCTTCATTTATTATTTTTTATCATATAATTTAGGCGTTAGCTGAGGGTCGTAGCGCATCATGTAATATTATTATATTTACTGTTGATTGTAACAGTAAACGCATTATTATATTACGGTGATAATATAACAAATGTCTTATTTTCTTTTTTAAATAACTTCTGTGTTTTTCTAAATCTTTCCCACACAACAATACATTCTATAATCTACACCAAATATTTCGAATTTGTTATATATATTGCATTTAATTAAACTGTCGAGGATTGTAAATATAGTAATAAAAACGATTATTAAGAAAAAAATCAGAAAAAATCGTACTTTTTATATCAACAAACAAGATATGATATTCATTGCAGTGCCTAGCTACGTAATCCAGATAATCTTAAAACGATTAGAGTGCTAAATTTATTCTAGAAATAACAATAAAATGGCATAACAACAATATATTATTCCTTGAATAGTAAGTATTATTTACTTGAAATAAATTATTGATAAAACAGTCTAATACATTCCTACATACAACTATATATAAAATAACATCGGTTATAATTAAAACTGAATCAGTGTTCTTTTTGTAACATTTTTATTAATGTCTTTACCGTAAATATTCACATTTAATATACAATTTTCGAGAAATTTAACATTATATACAAATATACATTAAAAATTGCACGTAAAAAATCGATTGTATAATTAAAATATGGTTAAATTTACAAATAAAAAAATTATCACAAGTTTATGTGTACTGATAGGCATATATTATTTGTTATATACAAAAATGGTCTACTGGATCACAATTTTGTTAGGCAAGAACATACGTGCAATTTTCTGTATTATAATATCAATTATTAATATCAGTTAGCAATTCTATACAATTAAAAATGACAATCCAATTGTTACAAAAAAAATTTTCTTTCTGATTAAGCGGTATCTTTTGTACATGCATATATTACATTTAATACATTTATACATGAATATAATAATTCAATAATTCAATACATATGTAAAAATCTTAAAAAGTGTATAAATCAAATAGTGTATAAACCTAAGTACTAGTGAGAAATTTGAAATGTTATTTCCGAGTATTGATGTAAATATCTAATAATATTTCGATTAATCATCTTTTTGACATCTTTACGTTTAATCAGATCAGATAAAAAATTCTAAAAGGCTTCTTTCTTAACATAAAATATCAATAATATACATTTTTTATGAGATAATCATAAAAAGCTCAAATATTGATAAATTGATAGTAATAATTTCTATCAATGATTAATAATTCTGTAATCGAGTTAATTATCAGATCCCAGCATAAAATTGTGATGCTATAAATGTAAAATTTGTGCTTAATCTTAAGTTCATCGTTATGACTTTGGTTTAATGGGCGAGCTTAAATAATTCCGTGGAACGTAGCCTTGTTTACCATTACGATTCTCTACCAGCCACCATTCATCATTTCCTTTCTCATCATGAGGTCTGAGCAGTCTCAGGGCTTGGCCGTTAGTAATAGGCAATGTGCCCGGCATGTTTCCAGCAAAATCGTACATTGCGTAGTAAAACTAAAATTTTATCATGTTAATATAAAGATATTATTATTCCGAGAAAGAGAGATATTAGAATATTAATACTCTATTATATTAGAATATTATACTAACTTCGCTGTGTATATACTGTATATTCTGATACACCTGAACTCTTGGCGTTTCAGGAACATTGCTATAATTGTGATATACTTTTGTTTCTTGATCTAATGAAAGCAAATCCTGTAGATGCGACGAAGACACTTTCTTGATCTCTTTCTCTGGAGAATCCAACGACATCAAATTTGGAGGGCTAGCACTTTTTCTGCCGGCAGCAGCGACATCCGATGTGGTTTGATCATGATGCTGACTCTGTCGCTGAACTGGTCTCAATTTTTGAGATGGCAAGAATCCTTGAGTGACCCCAGTGTCGACGTACCATCTCGCCGAATTTCCCATTGGATCCTGCTTTTTTATAACTCCGATCAACGTACCTCTCGTAGCATCCACTTCCAATGTAGATGTACTGGCAATGTCCTCAATTACCACATATAATTTGTCCGCAGTATATTTTTCTCTGAGCGAAGATCTCTGCTCTTCGGTTTGTTTAGACAATTGCGTTTGACCCTCGTCTATTCGGGTATTCGTGCCAGCAAATGCAAAACGCGTTATTTGATTCCATATTAAATTATGATTTACGAGAAACGATTCCAGCACATCTTGTGACGATAGATGCGGTGTTGTCTAAAAAAGAAAATTATGTTTCGTTCATTCTCGAATTACATTAGACTGTACATTTTCTGTTGAAGTTTTAATACCTCGCAAAGAGATATATATTGCTTCGTGATTTTTCCGCTTAATAATTTTCGGGCACCAGCAAAAGCATTTATACAATTAACCAAAATGTTGGCTGCGGCATCCAGTAAAATAGGTAATTCTTCCAACAATTGTTGATTCAAAGCTTCGTAATTACTCTTAGCAGTAAATAATTCTTCTTGTATCTGAGACAACATAAAATGAATCATATAAAATTATGAAAAAAAATAATTTAAAAAGTTTACAATAAAGAACATTAAGTAACATAATAATTACAATTTTTGATTCTTTATATTTCTCACTCTTTGAAATAGCGGCGTCGTAGTCCAACAACTTATCATGCCTCTTTGATACCAACATCGCTGGCCCTTCTAACAACGTCGCTAAGAAATGTAACGGGGCGCTAACTGTCTTCTCGATATATGATTTAAAGTCCTGTATATATTGTGACCAAATTACAGATCTTATGTCCTGCAATTTGTTCACCTCGGCAGTTGGACTTCCCTGATAATAATGAACCAGCAATTCGGCTATCGCTTCACCGGATATAGCTTCATCACTCAGATACGTAATACATTGCTCAATATCTTTCACCAATTGCCATGTACATTTCTCTATAGATCGAAATTGTTTCTCGAGCTCCTCAAATTCGGTATCGCTCGCAACGTTTGTCAATCCTAGACTCGCCGACAATCGCGTGCTAAGTCTTGTTGACATTTTTGCCACAGAATGCATACTTAATTTTGACATTTTACTAAATAAAGTATTATCATTATCTAAATACTTTGATACGATATCTCTTCTCCGTTTGTATTCGTTGATATAACTGGCTACATTTGTCATAGCCTCCCACGCCTCCATTATGGCTGCTTTATCTGGATGATTGTCTTCTGTACACTAAAAATTATTTTCCATACAGGAAAATATTATAATGCAATATAACTTTGAATATATACATGCGTATAAATATTTATCTGAAAAGTAATCTGAATTCAATTTCACAAATGCTGTTGAAATTGATATATATCAATTTATTTGTAATTTCATTAAAATATATATTTCAAAATTGAACTTCCACTATCTTCTAAATAATCTATTTATATTCTTTATATTTTGTGTAACTAACGTGATTACTCTTACCTTTATTAATTCATATAACATTAGAGGATACTTTACAATTCTTTGAATTGGCTTTATCAAAATGGAGCTCATATCAAAACAAGCAACCTGACGACGTAATGTCTCAATACCCTTATTAAATACTTTCATGATCTCTTCATTACTTTCATACTAAAATACAAACGGATTCGATATAAATAATCCTAACTTCAAATAACCATAAACTTTACATTAGTATACAGTTTTCGATAAAAAATCTCAATTACATTATATATATGAAATACCTTTTTCAACAATGCTAACGCAGCTTCATGATTCCCACAATACTTAACATAAACACTTTTCAATTTCTCGGCCATTTTCACGAAACAAGGCCCAACTGTTTGTAAATTTTCATCACAACCTTTCATAGCTCTCAGAATCATATCCAACAACTCCTCGGCAACATGAATAACTTCCAAAATATTCCCAAACAACGTAGCAACATCAATCCCCTTTGATTCGAGAAAACTTGGTTTATGTAAATTAAATGTTTCGTACGTTAACTTCAGATCACGGACATATTCTTTTTCAGTTATAACTAATTCCGATATTACATTTTGACGTTGATCTGCATTCTTTTGTTTCATATTTACAG